ATATAAAAAAAATGTATCGCCAAGTTCGCGTTCATCAAGACGATTGGCCGTTGCAAAAAATTCTCTGGAGAAACTCGCCCAGCAAAAATCCGCACGAATATTTGTTGTGTACAGTGACATACGGTCTCGCGTGCGCGCCATATCTCGCTCTTCGTTGCTTACTGCAACTCGCTCTCTAATTCGAAACCACGCGCGCCTGTGCTGTAGAAATCATTCGTTGCGACACATATGTCGACGATATTCTGTCAAGGGCAGATACAGTAGCTACCGTAAAAGAAAAAATTCAACAACTTCAAGACACGCTCACGGCGGGCGGCTTTAATTTAAAAAAGTGGGTTGCAAATTCTCTGAATCTGCTCGCAAACATCTCAGTTCACAATCAAGAAGTGTCCGCGATCCTACCGGTCGGCGATCCGGCTACGCATTACGCGCTCGGCGTTCAGTGGAATCGACTGAGTGACAGTTTCATGTTCTCCGCGCCGTCGCCTCCGCAGACAGTCGCAATCACGAAACGCTCAGTACTCTCGTTTATCGCGCGCATCTTTGATCCGCTCGGATGGCTCGCGCCGATCATTATCAGTGCAAAAATCTTTATGCAAGAACTGTGGGCTATTCGTCTTGATTGGGATTGCGAACTTCCGGACGATCTCAAATCTCACTGGATCGACTTTCTCGCGCGATTTAAAAACTTGTCGGTTATCTCCATTCCGCGCTGGTTCGGTACGAGTTCGGATACCCTCGAAGTGCAACTTCACGGATTTTTGGACGCCTCTTAACACGCCCTAGCGGCAGTTGTTTATATTCGTGTTGTTTCGCCTAGTGACACTCGCGTGACTTTTGTTAGTGCAAAGACAAAAGTGACTCCTCTCAGACGCGTAACGATACCTCGACTCGAGTTATCCGCTGCCGTGTTTCTCGTGAAATTGATTCGCAAGGTTCACGACGTGCTCGACCTGACTCGCTCAACCTCTCATCTCTGGACCGATTCTACTGTCGCGCTGGCCTGGATCAAGAGCCATTCATCAAGATGGAAGGAATTCGTGCAGCATCGGGTATCATTCATACAAGAACTGTCAAACTTTCGTTGGTATCACATCGCTGGGAAAGAAAATCCCGCCGACTTGGCATCGCGAGGAATCTCTCCGCAACGACTACAGCAGGAGCGGTTCTGGTGGTCGGGACCTCAGTGGCTCCAACGAACCTTCACTAAGTGGCCTGCCTCCACCTGCACTCTAAGTCCGATCGCACAAGGAGAGGAACGTGCACGAAGCTATGCCGTCGCCATAGTTAGCCCCGAACCGGAAGCATGGGATCTCATAAAAAGATACTCTTCCCTCACCAAGCTACTCCGCATCACCGCACGGATTCGACGCGTCATCGAACGTTTTCGCAAAGCTACCGATGCACATGCCGCTCAAGATCCTCTCACTCCGCTCGAATTGGATTCTGCGCTCGCCTTCTGGATCAAATTGACAACACGCGTGCTTTTCTCTGGAAATTCAACTCATCAAAGCAAACAAACCACTGCCAAAATCAAGTCCATTACTCCGCCTCATTCCGTTTATCGATACCGATGAATTGCTTCATCTCCGAGGTCGCCTACAACATTCTCAAATGGATCAGAGAAACATCCGCTAATCTTACCCCGAAGCTCTCGATTGACGGAACTCATCATCGATCATTACACAGGTCTACAAAAAAGGGGGTCTTGGATGTTGTCGGGAAGCTGTGGGTCATTTCCGAAGTAATTTTCTGCGTAGAATCCGAATCTGAAACCAGAATTGGCCCATCACGTCAGGATTTTGAGATATTAGGGGATATATACTCGAAAAATGCGTTTTTATGCTACTTTAGAGGTTATGTACAGGACGCAACCAATTTTTTGGGTCTTTTGTGCTATTTGCATCATTTAGTAATATTCTTACCCTTCAAAATGAGATATTGATCGACTACCTACGATTTTTTTTCGCCAAGTTACGGGCATTTTAACCCACTTGCGTAACCGTTTTTCCCGTCTTTTTCGTTCCAAAATGCATATTTATTATTTGACATATTTGATATAACAAAAACTGTTAGGATCATTTAAACACTTACGCGGGGCCATTGTTAAGACAGCAAACAGTCACAATTGTGACTGTTTATATATTAGGACCTTGAATAACGGACAGCGCGTCTTGTGCGCTGCGGCTCTGAGTGCAAGGCGTCTACCAACTTTAAACAAATCATTAGTTTTAAACTTATTAATGCAATGAAAATGAAACTTTCCAGAACATTTGTTCATATCCGAATGAACAACTTTCTCGCTGAAAGTTTTAGGATGCTCGAAATTCGCTCGATAAACGAAGCACCTGAATGCATAAAAAAGGATATTTTGCAGGTGTGTATAAAAAAAATAATAAGTTGTTTGTTTATTGACAAATATCGGTTTTTCTTTCTTCACTATACGTGGAAAACTCTAATGATCATAACTTCGAAAATAGCAAAAAAACGCATTTTTCGAGTATATATCCTCAAATATCTCAAAATCCTGACGTGATAGGCCAATTCTGATTTCAGATTCGGATTCTACGCAGAAAATTACGTCGGAAATGACCCACAGCTTCCCAACAACAAAACCTTGTTGACCTGTGTTATACATTCATCCGTCAATGTCTAGTCTGTACACGTCAGCGAGCAGCGACCGGTCAACAAATCATCAACTCATGGGACAGCTACCGGCATCTCCATGTCGACCGTTCTATCATACGGGAGTCGACTATGCCGGCCCGTTAACGCTCAAGACTTTCCGTGGACGCGGAGCCAAGACATACAAAGGATACTTCATTATCTTCACATATTTCAGCATCTCAGCAATACACCTCGAAGTAGCAACCGATTACTCTACCGAGGGCTTTATTGTCATACAAACACTTCACGAGTCGCAGAGGCCTCTGTTCCACCATCACGAGCGATTGTGGCACCAATCTCGTTGGAGCAGATGCCGAATTACAACGACTCTTTAAGGTCTCGTCTCGAGAGTGGTCTCGTATCGCCGCTCATCTTGCTACTGACGGTGTCACGTGGAAGTTCAATCCACCTTCCGCCCCGCTTTCGGCGGTAAGTGGGAAGCAGGAGTGAAATCGGTCAAGTTTTCCTTCAATATTCGACTATGTTCATCTTTGCATATGCTCTTCAGTGCCAATTTTATCTTTGTACAGAATGTAGAAAAATGTACCTTTCGTTTTTTATTTTGATTCGTGATTTGCATATTTAAGAATGTTTTTTGTGTATCGCTCAATGCTGAATACTGTTTCCAAAAAGCACATTTAGTAAATTTTCTAGCATACTTTAATCGTTGTTTAAACTTAGTAGCGCTCTTACGTAAAGTATTATTTTGTTTTGTAAATAATCTGCATTTAGTATAAATTTTTCTTGCAACTGGAGTCAAGTTTTCTTTTCTAGTAATATTACCAAGTATACTTCTACGAACGTGTTTTATAAAACGACAATTTTTTTTGGTGTACTTTGAATGTCTAGGTCACACGGCTGTGTTTCTTGTTGAATTTCTTTTTCAATATTTACATTGCTTTTCAAAACAGTACTTTCTTCTTGACTTGTATTAGATTGACATATATCAAGAGAAAAATCAATTGTAATTGTTGCAGTCATTTCATTATACTGGGTGTTAATTTCAAATAAATTTTCTTCTTGAACTTGTATTGAATTAAGCTGAGAAATGCCAGAATCATTTGTTGTTATTGACAAATTCTGAGTTGAAATAACATCATGCTTTAATCGTCTACGATGTAGAGTGAAAATATATGAATTTTCATCAAAATGTAAATGACAAATTCTATATTTTTTAACTTCTTCTGGTAGATTCGATACCCATAACACAGATATTGCTTCCAACCATTTTTTCATTAATTGTTTATTTTTAAGAAAATAATGTCCAGGAGCTTTAGCAGGAGATGTGCAACGTGGGATTACACATTTCCAAACTCTTTTATTAGTTATTTTATTCTAAAATTAAATTATTTGAAAGAAATTAGTGACTTTACGCAAATGTTTAATTTTCAAGAAATACTTTCTGTTACATGCACAGTATCATTTTACCCATGTTGTTCACCAAATATTACAGAAGGATAAAATGATGCATCATGCACATCATGCGCTATGTTCACATTTCGACCTGAATGCTACAGGTATAACTTTATCATTGTTATTTACTGAATGTTAAATAAGGATAATATGATATCTGGGAAGCACATGAATGGGAATGTGAACGAGCCCATGTGTGAAACGAAACGTATCCAGGTAAAAAATGTCATACAAACCTTCTCAGCAACTAACGAGTTCAAAATAGTAATTGGCTGTTTCTCAGAATTATCAAAAAAACTTGTGTTCGGCTCGTCCATCTGCCTCGGCAAATTGAGATTCATACTCGTATTAAACATTTGTACGAATCAAAATCTATGCTGGAATAGCCGCAATATAAAGAAGTTGCTGATTCACTGGGTACCTATTATGGAACACGTAGGAATGGATTCCGATCGGAATTATTTTGTTTTCCCTGGAAAACACAATAGAAATCTAGGAAATAATTGAATGATTCCGATCGGAATCCATTTCGAATAATTCCATAATACGTACCCAGGATTTACTACCCTTCTTCTTCTTCAGATTTGGTTGGCTCCCGGCTTCGCAAGGAAGTCCACTCTGGTCTATTCTGGCCAGTAACGATATTCGAGATTGTATTAATGCAAAGCAAAATATGTTTGAGGTGAAGCAACACCCGAGACGAGACGGATACGTCCGTCCGCACAGAACAAGAATTTATATTGATATTATCGATCGAGCAGGAAAAATTTATAGTTTCCAAAACTCTGTCTATTCGCCCAGATGGCGCAGAAATACGTCTTGAATTTTCATAGCGGAGTCCATACCCTGCTCTGAGCAAAGATCCTTCTGATTCCACAATACCTATGGATCTCGATTGCGAGAATGATATGTCATCTAGAAAGAGAACGACCAGGGACCGTGAGATCGACACAGAAGCTTCTTCTTCTTCTTCTAAATTTGGATGGCCCAGGTTCCGGTGTAGCCGGATTATCGTGGCCAGTCTTATCCTGTACGCCACCAACCTTCCACAAGATGTCCGCAAAAAAGGAGAAGCTAAGAGTACAGAGGCTCCACAGAACCTGCAACAAATCAAGCAGACGCCTTGCGCGGCCCCCACCGGACCCCCACGAAACTAATTCGAGGAGGGACGGAGGGGGGCACAAGGTGTAGGGGGAGGGGGTACGGGACCAATCAGACACCGAAACCTCACCCCAGCGCAACAACGCTCAGATAGGAGTCTCAATAGCCTTGAAAAAGGACAAGAGCAGTCTACACAGCTTGCGTGAAGGGCGGATTAAAGAAGGAAAAATGTTTTGAGAGTGTGAAGGATAAGCACTATTCAGAAACCTAACCAGGGTACCTGCTTTATCCCTCGTGAGAGGGCAATAAAAAATTATATGATTCATGTCCTGCATGAGGTCCCCACACACGCAAGCAGGGAAATCCACCATATTTTTCCTAAATAGACTATAGTTAAGATTATAGTGATTTGACCTTAACCTGTTGACCAGAATTATTATAGTTAAGATTATAGTGATTTGACTTTAACCTGTTAACCAGAATTATTTCGCTCCTATTAAGAGATAATTTGAAATACCAAGGTTTGGGTGACGAGGAAAAGTATAACGAGGAGTAGTGAGCGCCAGTGAGGGTAGCTTTGTCTCCTAAGTAGCCTTGAAAACGATTGCGCGATTTGGCAACGATCTGCGCTTGCAGATCTGAATAGGGGGTACGAAAGAAACCTCTGGCCCCGGAAGTACAGGCCTCTTTGGCCGCTTCGTCCGCGAGTTCGTTTCCCAGAATGCCTCTATGTGATGGGATCCAGAAGAGAAAACATTCAATATTGACACTTTCCAGTTGTACTAAAAGCTGTTTGATTTTATGTATAATGTAGTTTTCGTTGACCAGTTTGACCGTGAAGAATCTTATTAAACAATCCCTTTTTTTTGAACGAACTTGAGAATTATTTTATTGTCTGCTTAGTGTTTGAGATACAAAAATTGTCTGACCTGACCTCGGTCCTGTCTCGAGTTACAGTGTTGCCAAATGAAAAAACTCGGAAAGATAAAAATACTAGGGCCATTAATGTGCGGCTAAAGTGGCTCGCATCGTAACTAAACAACCAAATCTAAATAACAAAAAAACGTATGAGAATCATATATTCCGGCCACCTTAAAGTGTAAACTTCAACTATTAACTTAAATACTGACATTCGAATTACATTGATTGTATCAAAGCAAGATCTAAGTCAGACGATACGCTACAAACTTATGATAGAGGTTTAGTGTTAATCGATAGGTAGTACACATATTTTTGATAATGAACATTGGATTATTCCTCCGGTTTTTAAAGATACGATGCGTATTAGTCCATCCGAGCTAGGATGAACTTCACAAATTCGACCAATCCTCCATTTCAACAGAAGCATATTATCATCTCGGATTAATACTAATTTACCCAACTGTACTTCATGGTT